TCAACATCCCTTCTTGCATGTTTTTTTTTCCCTGTGCTTCCTTTACATCTCAGTTATGTAATACATTTGTCAATAGATGACAGCAACAAAGCTACTCAAGTCCAATGGCAAACTCCTGGTATACATGTAGAAAGTGGTAAACGCAATGTGGCAAACTAAAATAGTAATATGTTGAAAGACCAGAAAAATAACCTTGATGTATAAAAGCTAGCCCTACTTTCTTGTTAGTATTATTTTGCTCACACTAACTAAAAATTCTTTTAGTTTAATTACATGTAGTTTAATGTAACTGAAGTAGTTTAAACTAATTACATTTAGTTTAATGTGTTTGTACAGGCTGTTAGTGGGGATAACTCGAGGGAGACATCTGAGGTCAATGTTTGACAATAAAACATTCAACCAATTTTTTTGCCGATCAACTAGTCAGCTATTTCAGAAAAGTGCAAACCAACTGGCCGGCCAAAACTTACTTACATCTTACTTAAGTTACAAAAGTCAAAAGTATCCGTAGCCAGACTGAGCATTGCTAAGCCATGCTACTTTTTTAAGTTTGAGCCCCTAACCTCCACAAAGTCTGTGCACGACCTTGCCCAACCTACACGTGCAGCACCGAGATATAGGCCATTTTTGGGGATTTCCCCTTGAAATAACTGCATTGACCCCTGAGGTCTGATGCCTTACCAACATTTGACTTCTGTACCATGCAATTTCAGCATCTGCACACAATCTCACATGGCTATACATTAAATGCTTCAACTTTGGCTTTTTTCATGTCCATCATCATCTTCTGCTTCTTCTTTTTTCTTGTTATGTTTGCACTGTTGTAGTTAAAGGGACTACTTTATTATTACCTAAAATGTGTGCATATTGAACTGAAATGAGTACTATTGATTGTAAGGTGAGTTCTCTTTTTGTATTATTATTTTATATAGTTGTTATTATTATTTTATGTAGTTTATATAGTTGTGTTAAAAGTGTACAAACATGACATTTCTCTTCATATTTTCCTGCTGCATTACATCATCTACAATGCTCTGGGCTGCCAGTTAACACCACTCACCATTGGTCTCCTCCCATATTTAGCTAATTACCATTTCTTCTCATTGTAGCCAATTGTGAGTCATTCTTCTTGGAAGAAGACACATTGTCCATTTTGGTTATATGTACTACTACTTGGTTAGTGGTCCTACCAAAATACAGGCACTTTCTCTTGTATTACCATACATTGATTGTTTGGCATAGTAGTAAGCTATTCTGTAACATATGACATGATATCTCCACAAAAACACTCTCAGCCTACAAAAAAACAGAGTTACTCACACGTGAAGTATTTATCTTGATGAGTCAGACTAACGCTTGCACAAATAGGTTTGCCCTTGAATATATTTGTGTCAGAGCAAACCAAAGTTACACTGAACAATTTGGATGATATTACCTCTAACAAAGTAAACAAGCACTAGTCCAAAACAAACCCAGAACAAAAAAGTTTCCTATATTCTTCAGGCCCTGTGTTGTTTTTTCATCTTCCCATCTGAGGAGAATATTGTCTTTGTGTGTTTTGATACTGGAATGTAATGTTTGTCCCTAGTTGCCATCCATCATGATAGGACAGATTGATGTTCAGTTGAAGAATGTACATTAAAGAAATATGCATCAGCTGTTTTACTCTTGTCTCCTCTTGGGTCATTTCAGTGTTTGCCATTAAATAGCCATTAACCAAAACCATATCATCAACACAACCATCTCTTGGCCTCAGACTACAGTGGTTTATAAATCATAAATCATACTCTAATAGTGTGTATCATTTCTGTTATTCTTTACAGCACTAATTTTATCATTCTTCTACCACCTCCATTAATATTAACAGAATTCAGTTCACTCCTCATTTCCACATTTCACATTTAGATGTGACATACATATTGAAAAACCTCATTCTCCTTAGTAATATAAAAACAGGATCAAGATGTGCAGAATAATTAAGGAAACACAGTGTAAGTTTGATTTGGAATAGTGACTGTCCAGTGATTTTACATTCCAGACCAGTGATTGTGTGAGGTAATATTGCCCAAAACATTTAATGTATCTTTGTGGCTTTATTTTAACATCAATCTGTTGAATGACAGACTTCTGCCAGTGTTAGCACTGACTCATAGAGGTGAGTGCTTGGCCTTGTGTGAGCAACTGGGCGTTTTCGTTTGCTTAAAGTGTTTTTCTGAAGATAAGACTTACACCATTGAAACAATGTGCATACTGAAGTACTGAGCTGTCTCGTCATTCTCGCTGGCTTGCTGCCTTGATGGGTATGTTTCCATCCCATGTTTAGATAACTTCATTTTCAGCCCCAGCTTTCTGCACATCATCATCAGTGCCTTAAAGAAGCGTTTGTCAATGCATTCTGTATGTCAGAATGTGTGAATCGAGTGATTCATTCAAGCAAGGAACATTCTGTCCTAATTCTGATTATGTGGTTATTTGTGTGGTAATATAGATTTTTGCATAGATCTTTACATATTTAGGTTTGTAGCATGTGAAAAAGACTGCCAGCACCGTGCTTGAGATCTGAAAGCGGAATCGTTAAGAACCGTTGATTCCAGCACGGCACCTCCAAACTACACCGACATGACTTTGAACATCTCTGTCAGCAGGGACCATGAAGGGACCATGATGGGACCGTGATGGGTTTCAGTAAGCAAGTAGGGCTAGTGACCAAGTCTAGCTTTTTTTCTAACATTATGTGAAAGAAGGTTAAAAGAAAAGAAAAGAAAAAATGACCCGGCCACCAGCGGTGATTGATGTAAGTAAGCGTTGTATTGATGTACAAGTAAGGAAGACAGAAAATTTCTGCTTAAAGCAATAATAGTCCTGAACCTGTTTACTGTGATTTAGAGGCTTGCAAATTTCAGAAAGGAAGATCCATCAGTAGCGGAGTCCTTTCTACCTGATTGTGTCTGATATGGCAGCATACACCCTGTGCACTTATCAGTTAAATTTAATACATCAAATAATGTTGTTTCTAACATTCTAACGATTTAATTCCAAAATAACTTTAATAACATATATCGATGAAGAAATCTGTCTGTACCCTTAAATCCAGTTGCTTTTGGTGTCATTGTTGCTATGCCTAAAAGAAATTTCTCACAAATACCTTATAAACAGTGTATTTTAGGAACAAAATGAATAAAAATGTTCCGTTGAATTATTGTTGGGCACTTCCAGAATCAATTTAGCTAAAAATTACAATAAAACGTTCAAGCACAAAGTGTATCTAAAAAATACTAATACATGTTAATCATTACTTACTATACTGACATCATAGGATAAAATAGGCCACCTCTGAGGATGGGAGTTACTACTGTGGCAGGTATGCAGCTCTCTACTGCTGTCAGTCAGCCTGCCCACCCAGCTCAGCATACTTACCTCCCTCACAGCATACTGCTTGCTGATTGGAGAGAAGCAGTAACATTTTTAACCAACCATTACCATTGTATGCAAGTTGTGTTGCCATTTATTCATTCTGATTCATTTTTTCTGACGAAAATAGTGCACATTGTAGGAGAACTAATTATCAGCCACTTTGTTTCCTGGCATGCAAGCCAAGTCAGCCAATGAATACAAGTACAGGGTGCTTTTAAATCAATAAAAGTGCCATTAATATTGAATATCCTACCTCCCTCATCCCCACCACTAACACAGAGCTCCCAATGAAATCAAAGTAATATTTTCATGACTTTTCAGGATGAATGAAAAGATTGTAATTAACTATATTTATGTCACAAAAGTCAAATTCCCACAAAATGGAACACTGGAATACTGTGGATACTTTAAACATTGAATTGCAGGTGAAAATAAGTTTTGAAAAGCACTACTTCAGAATAATTGATGTTTGCAAGGATACACACCTACATACTGTATGTAAGTAGCAGGGAATAATGGTCATCACTGATTTTTGATAGTAGGCTTCAAGTACAACCCACTGAGCTGGCCAAGACATGACTGTAAAATGACGTGAAGCTAGTGACGTATCAAAAAGGACAGTTGTATTTTACTGACTGTAGAAGAAAAAAATAAGAATTAGCTGTATTTTGTACACTTGAGCAATCTCCCATGATTTCCCAGGGAAAGTTTGACACTTGGTCACTATGCATGCCCTTTCAGTAACTTCCCAGGAGAAATATTTTCATTGACCGCAGGAAAACTTTTAGTAAAAATGTGCTTGTTACACTGAAAGCTTCCTACCACAATCAACCATCAATCAGTCAGTCAGTCAGTGCACACCTGCCTCTATCCAAACTTTTTTGACTTGTGTGACTCCATTCCTGCTGTCCCCTCAGGTCCCCTGCGTGCACGTGAAGTGAAGCCACATGGGTACAGGGGCCATGTGAGAGGTGAAGATGGCCATCCTGCAGAAGCAGAAGTTTCCTCCATTACCGTAACGCTATCTGCTCACTGATTTGCATTCTCTCTCAAAAATGAACTGCCCTCAATGTGAGACTGGTCCCCTCCTTGCTCTCCCTGGGAGCTATCCCACCGCAAGCCTCTAGAGACCACTGTTCAGACATCATTGTTCAAGCTCATTTGTGTTTTACTGGTTTTTTTTTTTTTTTTAAATGCTTTTTACAGTTTTTATGCAGCCCTAGTATGGCAGTTTGGAATCACCCATTGGATATGGTGACTCTAAACTCAGAGTGCTCCTCTTACCATGACAACGACAGTGCTGACACAGGAGTGCTGGGCCATGCCACATGCAGTCTTCCGATGAACTCACATGCCAACCGCAACCATTTTTCACACCACAAGCCGCCCAGCAAACAACAAGTGAACCAATTGCAGGATGGGCGCGGCATCACTGATGTCATCCAAGCCACCTGTGGGCGCCTACTGAGTCATAGGGTGCCTGAGAGCGTGAAATGAGCAACACCTGCCAGCATATCCACACCTATGCGCAGCGGAACGAAGCCAGTTTGTTCCTCCGCTGTGGGCTCCCGGTCATCGTCAGCCAATGACATGGCTGGGGCTTGAACCCAGGCCATATGGCACAGCTTACACTCAAAGCGAGCACCTTAACCACTGAGCTACTCGGGAGCCTGCCATGGTTTGATATGCGTTATTTGGCACATGCCATTTTATATATTTTTTTAACATAAACATTCTGATTTTGAGAAAATGCTGCTCGTCAAGACTCAAATGCACATTAGCTACCTGTCTATTCCTGTTGTTATCTAACCAGGGGAAAATACAGTTTACCATTACTACCTTGATGCAGACACACTTGCAGGAAATGAAAAAAAGCTTGTATTCTTTGAACTTCGCTGAGCATAACTCCTTTTGAGAAAAAAAAAGAGGCCCAAAGCATTACTGTCACCCAGCTGCTGTTTCAAACAGTAGACTGCAAAAGCACCTTATGCTGACAAAACATGACATTAGTGCAGGCGAGCAAACTTCTCAAAATATCCTTCCTGGTACTATTCTAATGCATTACAAGGGGATATGTCCTTGTGAGGACATATTCAACCATATTTGAAAAAGTGGAAACATTTCAAAAATGTTCCAAATAATCTTTGCCTGTATAGGCCCAGATTCACATATGACCAATGACAGATTCACATACAGCATGTCCTACACTTGAAATAATGAAATTAAGCGTCAGCTTATTTCGCCACTTACAGCTTGCTGTAGTTGCGACAAGTTGCTGTTCATTGTATGTTGTGACTGCAACTAAATTCACATCCATTTCCACCATTTCCATTCAAAATGTCACCTCTGCCCATGCTGCTACCTGCTATACACCTTGTGATGTCTGTCACTTTACAGATGCCTAACAGCAAAAACCCACTGTCTGTCTGTCTGTCACTGACAACTGATGACTGATTTGCCCCCGTGTGTCACAGCTTTCTATGAGAGGAGACCCAGCGCCTTCCATTGTCCTACAAAAGCTCTCGTCTTCAGTTGTATTAAGGCTGAGTTATTCTGAAAGTGCGTTGGAATACCGAACACATACATATCGGAACCACTGCAATGACTGTGCAATTACTGTGCATTGTGTTTAATAGCATATCAAGTTTTTACCTTTTTTTTGAGCACATAACATTGCAGCTTTCCTGAATGACTTCATCGATCTCACTATACTACTGCCTAGAGAAAGCACATTGTCCTATCATTTGAGCATGGTAATTGTACTTCAAAGTAATGAAATAGGTTAAAGCAGAGGTCAACTACTTTTTATATACACTTAATATGTGAACAATGCAGACATAGTTAAACTAGCAAAAACATAGCACATTTGCAATTTTCACATTAAGATTAAAGCATTACCATTATATCAGAAAAGGAAAGTACTTATGAAACAAAATGTTTTTCATGTCCATAATTAATAATTCAAGATAAAGGAAAATGTAATGTTGGGATTGTGATACTATGAAATGAGCAACATGTCCATCTCAGCATTTTTTTCTTTTGTAAAATGAATAACTAAAAGTCTATAAGTTGTTGCCAGCATTGCTGCTTTCCTTCATAAGAGCATGCGAGAGTGAGCTTATTTACAGTCTGTTAAAATTCTGAGCGGCCATCGCACCTGCTCTGGATGCACCCTGACCACTTCAAGCGCAAGAACTGTGGGAGTTTCATACTTAAATCCACCTATACGGCCTGAAAACAACTCAACTGCACCCCCGAGTGGATATCCTATGCACTACAGTATCAGCCAAGTAAAAGGCGCTGTTACGTATAGGCTCACTTCACTGAAAGGCAAAGGCGGCACCTTGTGGTAGTAACAGCTTACTTTTTATTCTCCAGAGAAGAACACTTGGGGTTACGGCAGTTGTGATATCGCACAAAAATGTTGCTTACGAAAGAAAAAAAACAACAACAATTGTGGCAGGTGCTGTGGCCATAAATGCTTGTCAATATTGATATTTATGTCCCATTTCTCAAGGGTACAGGGTAGGATGTTATCTCCACTGCTCTTTGCCATATCATTGAACATTTTGCTACAATTTGCCAGATTTTGCTAGAATCGTTAAATTATGAGTAATTAAATATCAATGAAATTGTGTATAATATGAGGATATTGTTTTCATACAACACCTTCCTCATCTCTTCCTGCAATTAAAAACCTTTAAATAACCTCATCTCCCTCTCAGGTCATTTGGTGAACGGGGTCAAAATCAAAGTACTGCCTGTGAAAGGTTTCAGTTGAGGTTTCAGAGCCCAGAGCACCCCGATAATATGGTCCCAATGGGTTTTCAAATACATTTTTAACAATGAACCACCTTAAAAATAACACTCAAATATAACATCACTTTTATTGATGAGCCCTGTTTTCCCAAACACTTATTGGTTTTAAACCCTGGGAAAAGCCATAAAAATTCTACTGGGAAATAAATAAATAAAAAATAAATAAATCCCATGATCAGACTGCTACCTTTCAGAGTGGGGAGGACTGGGGACTGGGGAGGACAACCTGCTTCAAATTTCACAAATCACTTTTTGGCAATACACGGTTGAAGGGATTGACCTCTCCCATGGTATTGGATGACTGAAATGCACAGACATCACCCTGAGTGACCTACCCAGTCTAGGTACTACCATAAACACAGTGAACTGCTCAAACCACTCTAGATATCAGAAACAATTAAAGCCTAGTTTAGAGCTAATTTCAGCTGAAAGCTCTAACCACATCCATGTAAACTCCTCAAAATCAGGTTAAACCCAGACTTCACAGTAAGTAATAAACTTTTCCTCTTCCCTTCATGGGAGCAAAAAGGAATTATCCAGTTAAATCACATATTTGACAATACTGATTAAAGCTTTCAGAATCTACAAAATAAATACAACCTTCCTCAAATGTCAGCCTCCTAAAGCCCAACAGAAAGAAACCAATTCATGCGGCTTTATTCAAAGATGATTAATGTACAACAAACTATCCATATTATACGGACTGATATCCTCCCTGACAACAAAACTGAAGTCAAAAGGTCAAAAATCCCCGCATGAAATTAGAGCGACAATCCTCTGCAACAATGCATATTATATACCCTGTGACTGAAAGCTACATATGACGTAATACGAAGTAGAGCACAATGTTGGAATCGGTGTGTTCAATTATATGACCACATAATTGAACACACCGAACATAACTTTTTGTTCAGGGTTTTTCAGAATTAAAAACACGTTTATACTGCAGACTCTCCAACTGGGGATATTTTTCATGCTATCTAATAATAATAATAATAATAATAATAATAATAATAATAATAATACAACTTCTGCAGTAGAGAAATTGGGGCAAATAACCGCTTTAAGATTTGGAGTAGCTTATAAATTGTGTCATGCACACACAGCTTCACATCATGCCTTAATAACAAACCTTTATCGTGAACACACGTAGGCTGGTAATATAAACATTTGAAAATGAAAGTAAAAAGACAGGGAGCCAGTATTTTAACGGCAAGAGCAGCGGTGCACTGACTGCAACAAAAAACACGGGAAGGGAATAATACGTCAACATACACTGCCACTTTATAACCCTTTTAGACCTTTGGAAAGCGAGGGGCGCGCATTTTCTTTCTAAAATTAGATGCATGTTTCTGGTCAGTCGTAGCCTATCTAATCATGAAGCTGCAGTTCTTCCTATCGCCTGCTACGCTATTGCTTGCTGCTGCAGACTAACCCCTTAGCATTTGCGACTCAGCTCACCATTGGCACTAGGCTGGGCAACACGTCCTGAAAGGCAGCTGTAAGCTCCCCTTCCTCGGACATTAAGGCTACACTGCGCTGGGTTCAAACAGCCCTTTCTGCTGACAAGAGCGGGGTGCCAAATAATACGATCAATCGCAGTGTTCATACTTAGGGCGTTTTTTCAAAGACACAATGTCAGGCGGGAATAACTTCTTAAACATTCCGGGTCAGGAGAATCTTTTCAAAACCGTGAAAAATGCGAGGTCGGCGGAAGAGACATGCAGCTCGACAGCGGAGGATGAAGAAGACGAAGAAGCCGAAGAAAGCCACCGACTTATACCGAGGTCCTCCCCCGTGCCGAGAAGGCGCGGAATGTCCATTTTCGATGAAACGGCTGAGTACATGAGGATTCGTCTGGCTCTGCCCAGCAGAAGAGTGTCATTCGCAGATTCTTCGGGCGGGGAATTAGTAGAAGTTAAAGAGTTTGTTGCTTTTGACTCGGACGAAGAGGAAGATTCCAGGTGGGAGGAAGAAGAGGCACGCTACCGCCCACCCAGGCGCGAACCAACATACGAAGTGTGCCCGGACTTCCAGGTGCCAACAGGCGCAGCGCTCATCCTCGCAGTGCACACCAACAAAGTGGAAGTGGAGAATGTGTCCACCGTGGAGGACGAGCCCCTTGCATTTACCGGCCTGATTCGAGTTCTGAACATTTCCTTTCATAAGGCAGTGTATGTTCGCTTTACCATGGATGGCTGGAGCTCTTTCTTTGATTATCCTGCGGAATATGTCCAGGGCTCTAACGATGTGGAGACAGACAAGTATTCCTTCAAGCTTTCATTTGCCCCGCCTTACTTAAATCACGGTGCCCGAATTGAGTTCGTTGTGCGCTTCGAAACCCCCGAGGGAGACTACTGGGCAAACAACGGAGGGAAGAATTACACGATGGTTCTGAATTTATCCTACAAAGACAACTGTGCTCGAGGGGGTGGGACTGATGATCGAAACCCGAAAAGTATCCTGAAAGCCACCAGTTCCAGGTTAGTGTCACGGTTCGAAACATCGCATGCACCTGTCTTTTTGACGTGCTGCATTATTTGTGTATCGCAAACTTAACATGGGGCGTAAGGGTTGAAGGCCAGTGAGTAACCAGACAGTACGCAGCCGTTAGTATCGAGGTATTGAAACAATGTGATAGAATGACTTGTTGTGAGGTAAGTGGCTGTTGGTCACTTTACAATTAAGCATGTAAATGAGACTGTTCTGTAGAGTGACGAAAGAATCGTTAATTTCCATAAGAGCATGGCAGGTATTTTACGAGAGGAGGAGACACCTTGCATTTTCAGGACAAGTGATATTAATTGTCTGTATCCAGTGTCCTGCATAGTTGAGAACAGTCATTATAG